TCAAGATGGTTTGAAATATAATACCCCACTTAAAGCAATTCAAACTTTAATGTAGCTGTTAAAAATCTAAAAATAGACTAAAAAGTCTTCCTGGTTAGCTTGGTCTATTTCATATGTTTAATAAACGCCCCTCTGTGATGTAAGCATATTATATATTGACAAATAATTTCAAAAAAAGAATGAGAAAAACAACTTTTACAAGACGGATTATATTTATTCATATATAGAAAATAATACGTTAGTAACTAATTTTCAAACAAACACATTCATAGCTGGTATTCGTTACCTCACTAAGATCGTAACTTAAAATCAGAATATAAAGGATACGGCTTCAAAAATGGTGATTTGTCATTATCTTTTTCAGAAAGAGTATAGTTTTTTCTTTTTTTCAAATTATTATTTTGTTTAGTTAGTAAGATGGTTATTTCGTCCTCTATCGACTTCTTATGATTAGAAAAATCAATAAAGTGTCCTATTCGTAGAGAGGCTCCCAAATATCGCTTTGCAATTGCATTAGCCTCCAGAAGGTCGTAATTAACAATGATTATTTCCCTGTTCAGATCATGTGTATAATTGTGCCAGGCATGTTTCCATTCTTTTTTATTCCAACGAATTTGTCCGTGGTATTCTTTACTCAAAAAGATGATAAAGGTTCGAGTACGTGACATCACTTGTATTATTTCCTCTTCCCGGACTATTCCTGGTTCACTATCTGTTCAGGGCCAAAACAACTTAAGCATTTTATGCTCTTCTAGATTTGGAGGTAAATTCGATATCAGCCACAGACGAATCTTTACATCTTTTTCATTGCACGCAATATATAAGTCGTAACAAAATGACAAAGGATAAGTAGTCTCCCTAAAATATTTTATGAATTTTCGACCAATTATGAATATCTCGAATCGAAAGAAACATAGTATTACCGAAAGTAAAACGACAATAAAGAACGCATCGACGATTATTGTACTTATCCATAGGAAATTTGTATCTGGTATTCTACACCCAAGGTCTTTCTTTGTCATAATATATATGGAAATTAATTGTCCATGAATCCGGCACAACACTTATATATTTTTCTACATTTTGAATCATTCTGCGGAAGTCATTGTTGTAACCAAATATCTTGACATGTGCATTGCATTATTATAGTGTCCAGATAAATGTTGCAAGGGTTAAGTTCTCCAATAGATATGCGTAATGAATAAATATTGTTTCCTCTTAAATCTATTTCCGCTTTCCTTAAACGAAACAAATGTGATACATGAATTTTGTTGTTTGAAACATTTGATAAACGTATACGGTCATAGTAATAGTCATGTCTGAAATGAATTTGCAGATTTTGTAAGTAGTTATTTAATCAATCAACCTCTAACACTTTGTAATCAGGGAGTACGCTTGAAAACATTGTAAGATTCGACGCAGAACACTCAATCACAGTCCTATTTCTAATAGCTGGTTAATTTATACAGCGGCATTTAGGCGTCGAAATAATCCCGTGTCATTATATGCGCAAGTCGTTCTGCTGCAATTGCAAATGGATAAATATTACAATCACAATTCCATTTATTATCTCTACCGTCAAATCCATTAGAAAAAAATCTTCCGATAAATAGAGGGCTTTCAAAACCGAGGAAACGCAACGTTTTGGCATACACAAACAATGAAAGTGAATTATTTGACGCATCCACCATTCCTCCGTTTCCTAGGGAGGTATTGGTTCTAAATTTCCATGATAGTTCATTTGCAATTGATTTTATTGCATTGTGGGAGTAATCTTCCCTACAAAAACACAGCTGTTTAGATGCCAATCCATTAGTGACATCCAGAGTTGACATATTGTTGAAGGCTAAGCGCAGATAAAATAAACTTCCATTCATGTTTAAGAGAAATGCAGGATCCATTAAATTGATTTTATTAAATGATAAATCTATAATACGAATGAAAGTCATTTGCTAAAATGTGTTTACGTTCATGTTCATGTTTACCTCCAGGATTCACAATTGAAGAATTATACTGACCTTCTTTGTATAAAAATTGATAAATTTGTCAGGTTTTCAATATTTGATTTGGAATTACAAAAACAACAAGACATCTGATGACATGTAAACCTTCAATTATTACATGTTAAAGGGCATGTCAAATCAGTTCTGTTAAACAATGTGTCCATGTCATCTTCGACATAATTATACGACAACCCTTGCACTATAAGGAAAAGTAGAAAGATGAATGGTCATCCTTACAGACTCACTTCCACATATTTTGAATATTGATTCTTTTCAAATAATGGAATGCTCCACTGCTTTAATGATGATAAAGATTTATAATTCACTTGATTTGTGTAAACTTTAAAAGATGAAAGATTATACATCTTTAAATATCTAATTTATAATGATACATGCACGCCACTTTCAATGAATTGTAAATAATCTCAGTGATGGCCAAATAAATTACCGAGTTGTATTTATTTAGGATGAGTGCAGTAAGAGATCAAACATCATATCTTTCATGTATTTCAAAAGCATATTAGATTTTAGAATTCATTTGTAGAGAAAAACCTATTTTGCACATTACCAGTCCTATGAAAACCGATTCTTTCTTCTGATGGTCTAACATTGAAATAGAGGATTCAAAATATTTTAAGTAGTAAAGATAAGTTCATTACTTCGAGGATTTTACGGACCCCACACTAGTTGGTTGACCTTTATCAAATATCTTTATCACAGATACCGCTGATATGTTAGTATTAGTGTTGTCAACAGTTCACTGGTTAACCGTTGGAAGGACCGAATATCGAATACCAAAAACGCTAACATAAACCGGACCTTTTATCAATTTTAATAGATTTGATATACATTTGTATTGAAATCATTAATAAATGATGCTGAATTTTGAAATGATCGTCGTGGTTACTAGTTTGACTGATCAATTGTCCGATATATTAATTGCTATTGTTAACCTTGACAACATTCCAAATCTGCAAAATTAACTATCACAAAGACAACTTGATTATCACCTGGGGGCAAGATCTTTCGTAAACATAATTAGCATAAATGTATTTTGAACTGCTGTAAGCTGATTAAATTTTACACTACAGAATTTTCTGATGCACCGGAGAAAATGCAACAATTAACGGTTTCAAAAATTATCAATTCGACGAGATTAAGAAGATATTCATCTTCTTCATCTGTAGTTATTACAAACGCCATAGTTAATATAGTAATTTTGGATTATTTAAAGTAAAATTTCAGCAGGAATGCTCAAGGCCAGGCCTTATACTGCCCAAGGAAAACTTCAGTATAACATATCTTAAAAACGAGCATTTGTAGTGTACTGTAGATAAGATCTAAACTACCGATTAACCGGTTAATCACGCCCCGTATTAGGGGGGGGGGGGGTGTCGTGTTGTTCAATATTTAGTTTTTTATACCGTGTTTTGTAGACTTTTTTGTTTATCGGGGTTTTTTGGGGTTTTTTTTTCAACTTGTGCACTTCTACTGTTTGGATGAGTCGGATAATAAAACAGGAAAGAACCTACATGTGTTATCTGTGACTTAAGTTGATAATGTGTGAATCTCAATCCAACGATTCAGCAGCATAACTTGCATAGCAATAAGTATACTACATGTACTAGCCATGTATATGTTAATTACTAGTAGTTTGTAATAAGTTATTTTTTCCTCAAATCGTTTTTCTGGGAGTTTTTTATTTTTCGAAAATTTAAATAGTATACAAAAATTGTTTGAGACTACTGCCTGCTAAAAAAAAACTTCTAGAACGACCATAGTTTTTCAAATCATTTTGATTGGTTTATTGACAAAAACGGGGGTAAGGGTAAATGACATAAAAAGGATGTATTTAGTTAACCGTAAAAGTTGTTTGGTGTTTTTGTTAGTATAATCATGTTGATAATATTGAAATGTTATTCCTTCAATGACATTTAATACCTTAGAAAAACGAGCAATGTGAAAGACAATTACCCAGTCTGCCAAATATATGATTTATCAACAACGGTGTCGAATTTGGCGAAAAGGGACATCAAAACGTAAATGAGTTAAAAATGATACATCGAAACTTATGTTTAACTTAATACAACTGATCTTTCGAAACACGCATATAGACTTTCAATGTCTGTGAACATAAGGAGTAGTGGGTTATTCGTCCATTATACAGATACCCAACGCATAAAAAACCAACAAAAAACAACTAGATGTCAACATGTAGCGTTTAATGATTCAATATTTAAAACTCGGCCCGAGTATAACAACTGTATGTTACATTGTTGCATATTTGTCATTAAAGTATCTTCTTTAGCAAGGTCTGAACCTTGAACACGTAAAATACTCGAATACACAAACCTATTTTGAGGGTATCCCTTTTTTATTAAATCAAAAAAAATTTGAAGTTTAAAAAGAGTACTCAAATATCTCTGTGGAATATATTTATACTCAGCATATCATAATTTATGATATCCTTTCTATAATTGTGCCATGAATATATCCATTCTGAACCCAAGTGCATATGTCTACCAAACCATTGTTATCCTCGGACAGAAACAATACAAAATTTAAAATTCTTTAGCAAAACCTTTAGACATTGTTGGTCCTCAATGTTGTACTTTATTTGGCCTTTTAATTTGTTTTTATTAGAGCGTCACCGATGAGTTTTTTTCAAACAAAACGCGCGTCTGGTGTACACAATTAAAAGACTTGTATTTTTCATGAGTTTTTGTTGGAAATTCATCGATGATTTACTTCGCACATGGACTTTCTAACTCATACAATCTCGGTCAGTATAAAACAATCGGAGGTTTTTTTCTTCATGACACAGGACAGTCGATGACGTCAACCAACATCGCAAACAAACGTCATCTTCGTTACAAGATATGTAGACATAATATGCAAATGATTTGATAAAAATATTATTTTCTCGAAGTGTTTAACAAATTTTCTTGTCGTTGAAACCCTCAAAACGGAAGATGCATATAAAAAACCACTACACAATCACTATAAACAATATTATTATGAATACAAGATCAAATGGCTAATTATTCTTTAAAAATACAATAATACTATGTTACTATAATAACGGAAGGACCTAAAGTGCATGGTCAATTGTTGATTGCTTAATTGTGTTTATCGTTTAGATATGTATGTCTTTCTCAAGCATTTCAACCAGTTCGTTTCTTCTGATAGATATTTTTACAAATGAACATCCTGTTATGCATTAACTATTACATAATCACCAAGTGTATCTTTCAGTTGATCTCAAAACAATTCGTAACGTTAAGAACCATCCCAAGTGTATAAAATTTACATGTACTTGTGAATTTGAACGATTCATAAGACAATTTTGAAAGTTAAATGTTTCCTAATGACACAAATTCCTAGTTTTCCTCTACGTAGTTAGTTCCTTGAATTCATTTAATAAATAAATCTTAATAAGATATCTAGTCAGTGCATTATAATGCTGAGACCTATGTTAGTGTCTATTTTATGTTGAATAAGTTGTTATTACTTATTATTATTTTGTTATACTTTATTACCGTAGACATGATTTTAAAATGAGTTTATAACTGTACATGTAAAGAATCTTTTGATTTATTATCATATTTGATATTAAGATTTGTCGTCTCATTGTCGGTGTCTACATTAGTATCAAGCCTTGTTGCACGTTCCCCGTTGCAGCATTTCTTTCCGAATACGGCATCATGATCATGTTGGAGTCTTGAGTACACTTCTGCCTTGATGAGTTTATCCTTTTTTGAAAAATTTATAAAATGATGCATTTTTAAAAATGCTCTCAAATATTTGTGTGCCACATCTTGATACACCAGCATGTCATAATTTATAACGACTATTTCTCGATTGATATCATACCTATAATTGTACCATGCATATTTCCATTCTTTCTTAATCCACATTTCTGTTGAACTTTCACAATCTTCAGAAAGCAAAATTACGAAATTAAGACTCGTCGACATTATATCAATTGTTTCCTCCTCACGTAGTCGCCCTATTTGACAATCTCGATAAGGTAAAAACACACGGAGTTTTTCTTCTTGCAGAAAAGGGACAAATGATGACGTCAGCCAATGTCGCAAATAAACGTCATTTTCATTGCAAGATATGTAGATATCATATGCATATGCGTCTGATGAAACTACTATTCCTTTGAAATACTTCAGAATTTTTCGTGTCATTATGAAAAGTTCAAAACGGAGAGTATAGATAAAAAGCGCTGATCCAGTAACAATAAACACTGCCACGGCAAGTGAAATGTTCAAACATAAGATATAGTCATTGTAAAGTCTACATCCAAGCTGATGTCTTGTCATATTCAATATGTTCACTTTTTCATTATTGTTCCTACAATATACTCTCGTATTATTGAAACATTTGCTATGAAATGATGGCAGCCAATTTTGTATCCAAATGTCGTTGCATTTACAGTGAATCACGACTTTTCCTAAGTTTATCTGGCAAGGGTTTAAAGTTTGCAAAATACGTGGAATGTTCGTTATTTTGTTTTTTGACAAATTAATCAAACTTACATTTCGTAATTTAACAATAAGATCATCCGGTATTATTTCGATGTTATTGTTTGATAAATCCAGTTTTCTTATATATTTGCTATAATAATATAGTATACTTCCATTACTAGTAGTTTTTATTTCATGATTAATGTTAAGCATACTTGATAATCTATTACTTGAAAAATCTACCTCAAGATCAGTTCGCAATGGCATTGCAGATGGTAATCTTCTACGTCCCGTTCCAGAACAATTCACTACAGTTCTTGATCTACTAGGCTGGTAAAAACAACGACATTGTGGAGGACATCTGTCAGCAATTGTTAAATTACAGATTAAACAATCGAGAGATTGGTGTTTAATAATGTCAATTAGAAGGACGTTTTTGAATTCTGGAGGAGAATGACAAGTTACTTCGAAATAGGTTCTATGCATCTTATCTAAAAGAATAGACGATTTTGATGCTAAGAAATACATCTGGCAGTCACATATCCAATTGTTTTCTCGTAAATCAAATCCATAGGATAGTAGTTTTCCTAAGAAAAAAAAATTTCTAAATCCTATTTTAGAAAATTTCACAAAATGTGACAAATTATTGTTAGATAAATTAACATATCCTCCAAATCCAAATTGTGTATTAGTTTTACATGTCCAATCTAGTTGATTGCTTATACTTGTTATCTTATTGAAGGAAAAATCGGTTTCGCAGAACGCTGGTTGATTTTCCCACAAAATATTAGTGATATCTACTGTGGTCAATAGATTATTAGACACATCAAAATTAAGAAGACTTGCAGCCATGTTTAATAACAATCCTGGTTCTACGTACCTCAAACGGTTGTATGAAAGGTCAATATTGCGTAAAACCTTCATTCCGATAAAGGTATCGTTCCTCAAATACTCTATTTTGTTTTTACGCATTTTAAGAGTGTCTAAGCTTTTGATGCAAGAAATATTGTCAATTCTTTTTATCTCATTGTAAGAAAAATCCATTTGAACGATTTCTGTAAAATTACATAGGTTGACTGGGAGTCTCGTTATGTATTTAGATACGTGTTGTATCCGGTAAAAAACATTCAAAACATGTGGTTCTTCTATTTCAGTATATTCCAAAATGGCATTGTACGAAACTTTCAAAGAATATAGTTGTTCTCGCGTTTTGTACATATCACACATACAACAACTGACAAGATGATACTCATTTCTCCTACAAGAAGACGAGCAATGTAGATCTGTTCGGTTGAATAAAGTTTTGAATATGTCGGTCGTAGAAAGTAAATCCACAACAGCGAAAGGACACCAAATCATAAAATATATGCACACGAACCACATCGTTCCTTGTTTTAGCTGTCCATTAATATGAAGAAGACGTTTGATAAGTATCTATATTTATAAGTAAAAGTCTAAATTGCATACGATCCGGTACTTATTACGTTTCCTAATTGGTTGTTTTCAATAGCCTCTTATGTTTATAAATGTATTATATAGACTGAAATGTAATATCTAACATCCTGACATTTCATTTCCCTCTATCGAACTCAATAACGTTAAAATATGAATAAAAAGTGATTATGTCTGTTTATTTTGTTCACACATCGTTGTCAATATAATGGAATTTTATGCGACTGTCATAAAAGTGAGAGATTGAGCTAGCTATAAAACCAGGTTTAATCCACCATTTTCTACATAAGAAAAGGCCTGTACCAAGTCAGGAATATGACAGTTGTTATCAATTCGTTTGATGTGTTTGAGCTTTTGATTTTGCCATTTGATTAGGGACTTTCCGTTTTGAATTTTTCGGAGTTCGGTATTTTTGTGATTTTACTTTCTACTGTGGATTCATTTATTTTCGCTGGAACCAATATTCATGGATTGAGGAAAATTTGCATTTTCGTTGATATTTGATTTCGAGGTTTTGCCAAAGTTAGCATACAAGCTTACAGAAAACTTGTAGTTGGTTAAACATTTAAATTCGTGGTTCAACTGTACCCACGAAATACAAGAAATTTGGTATCCCATGAATATTACTGAATCAACATTTTTATGAGCATTTTTTTCGTCATTTTTATTTGTTTCGGTTTAAGCGCTCCCGATGAAGGTAAATCCTTAAAAAAAAGCGCATCTGGTGTACGACATTTGTCAATTGTTAATTATATATATTACTCACGCATATAACAGTGTATAATTCCTAATTAGAAGACAATTTTGTCGATAAATTATTTCTTACATTTTTATGGAAATTTATACAATACAAATTATAATTTCACGTTGATTGAAAAAGGTAAGAAATAAAACTATAGTTGTGTTTCCCGCGGTTTTAGTTTGTAACCCGGATTTGTTTTCTGTCAATCGATTTATGATTTTTGAACAGCTGTATATTACTGTTGTTTGTATTTACAGAAAGTTGTTGTAAGGTATATAAAATAATCGCATACAAAAAAAGCTGCTAAATCAATTTGTTATCCGTGTAAATTTTTAGTGAGGAATCACATCGTTGTGCACTATATTTACGTTGTAAGATAATATTTTGGTATATTTAAATATTTTTATATTTTGTTTTATTTTTCAACATAAAAACCAATATACGGTCAGAATAATTTTAGGCTACAAGTTTTGTTATAACATTCTTCAAAAACGACTTATTTATATGTTTGGGATTTTAGTATGACGTCCATTTTCACTGAACTAGTACTCATTTTTGTTTAGGGGCCAGCTGAAGCACGCCTCCGGGTGCGGGATTTTCTCGCTGTGTTGAAGACTCATTGGTGGCCTTCGGCTGTTTTCTGCTCTTTGGTCGGGTTGTTTTCTCTTTTGACACATTCCCCATTTCCATTCTCTATTTTATCATTACGAATAACTCAAAATTTATAATAGGGAATAAAAGTATGCAGCTTATAATCACATGCAAGGCAATATAACCATTTAAAAAATATGCAAAACATCAACCTTAGATTAATGTTCAGGAAATCGAATTATCTTACAAATGTACACAAAACATGTTATTAAGCCGATATGAGTTATCTCTCATTAGCCACTCATCAATACTAATCATAGATCGGCGGGTTGAAGCAGTTTTCGTCGTGTCGTAGGAAACATGACGGTTGTAAAATAAAAAACGAAAAGAACAATAAAAAACAAAAAGAATGAAAATATACTTCTAATCTTATGCATTAAAATAATTCTATGAAAATGAAATCAATTAATATAGCAAGTAAATTATTCGATTAACAACTATTCGGAAATTCCATAAGTATGTGTCAAATTATGGCATTTCATAATGTTGTTCACTTTCCTATCGCTTCGACTGATTATCGAAATTCACTCTGAAGCAGTAGTATTTGTAAAAAAAATGTATTAACTACCAATTATTTATACTAGTGGAATCATAGCCCTGCTGATATCACTAGTTCGGTAGCCTTTACTTTAGTCCTGGCATGAACAACTCTGACTGCTTGTCCGGGTTAAGTCTTACTTTTTGTCTTTTTTAGTTTTATTCTCACTTGAATGTTTGTATAGAGTTTTGAACTTGCAAATACCTTAGCAACAAGCATACCCAAAAAAAAGTTTATTGTGAAACGGCGCATCTGTTGCAAACGAATTGATGACGTCAAGATTATTTAAAACTATCATTAAAACTTCTAATTTGAATCAAACAATATCCTTATGTTCGTGTCAGTACCGACATGCATGCTAATGGGTTGGTTTTGCTCTCTGGAACTAAGAGTCTACAATTAGAGGTACATATATCGACCTAGTGGTAGAACAAATAATAACTGATACCGAGTTTACTGCACCAAATGCGTATTTGACAATTAATTTCCCATCCATGATGCTTAAGGCCGAAGTATTTGAACACCTAAAACATAAACAAACTTTTGATTAGCTGATCAAATATAAAAAGACACCAAGTATAGCCTTATCAAAACAAAGAAATCAGAACTTTGCATAATTCTTGAGATATGTTACTTAACTTAAAACGGTTTCTAAAATTTTATAACAGCAAATTCAAGCTAAATAAAATCGTATTTTCATACAAGTATCGAAATACTGGTTCCTGGATTGGTGATGTCATCGGAGCCTTACAGTCCACCAGCAGGGGAATGGACCGAATGGTAGTGATAAGATCAAAAGTAAATGTTTACTGCATCTGTCACACATTTTGACAATTACTTAGGTATTTTTCGCCTCTCTTTTTAAGTCATTTTTCAGTGATGCTCGAGACCGAAATATTTGAAAATCCAAACATATCAAGCTGATCAAATAGAAAAGGACCTAAAAAATGAAAATAACACTTTATAAATTTCATACCTTCGTCAGGAGCGCACAAAATCAACGATGTAGAAAAGTCGAAACACTTGAAGAGCTATAAGACCAAAAAAGACCAAAATTTTAAATTAAATCCATCTCAGGTCAATTTTGGATGAGGGAGTTGAAACCTTAGTTTCTTTATAATTTATAAATTTATAAAAAGACTATTAAAAAAGGTTTGTTATAAATTATGTCAGTACAAATGTCCTGACCACCACTAATCTAATAATATCCTAGGGGATTGAAAATCCACCAGCAGCGCTATCGACCTAGTTCTGTAAAAAAATAAACAACACTTTAAAATTGTATGCGCCGAGTCTCTTTTCTTGATTCACCTTCACCAGGAACACTTAAAGCCGAATATTTAGAAGCCAAGGATGTAGAAGACAGTTGAAGGGCTGTATCACCAAAAACGACCAAAAGTAATAGATAATTCATCAAAAGTCAATTTTTTTTTAAACTTTTAAATTCATAAACGGACTAGGTCTCCATATAGTCAAAGAAAATTGTTGTCCCTCTTCAGGGAAACAACTTTAAAAATGGATCTTTAATTGCAGGTTCAATAATTAGATATGACAAATAGACTATTCATAGTAGATGCCTGGATTAAGCAACACGAACTCCATTAAAACCCAAGTATCATCTCAAGTGCTCCGAAAGGGTAGGCAAATCCTGCTCGACATGTTTGTTTATTTATTGATAATGATAATTCTTAATGAAAAGAACATTTCGGCTGTGATTCCTACGTTTATGTTCAGGTTTTGCATTTTCAATAGTATGTATCACTTTTATCTATGATATAAAAACTTGGTTTGGATGAAATGCATAACGTTACTATATAAAGGCAACAGCAGGATATTGCTGTTCAAAAGTCATGAATCTTTTTCATCTTCTCAAACTAACGATTTCATAAGGAAAACAAATCTGCTCATAACATATTCCATTAGTTATCATAAATTTCTTTATTTTTATTCAGTAATACAACACTTTTTCTTTGTGGACCGATTTGTTTGATTCAAATTATTTTAACAAGTGATCAACGTGCAATGTTATCTGGATATAACTTGGAACCGTAAACACGATTATATACATTATAATAACTACAAAAGATATCTGATTCACATTGTACAAACTCCATTTTAAACATATAATTTCAATTATGTTTCTGTTAATTGTTGAACAAATACACCAAATAGTACAGTGTGCGTTCATTAATTGAAAATGCTATCAGAATTGTATTTTGCGCTTTTGATTCTCATATTATATTGCAGTGCTATATCTTCTAAAGAGTATCTAGTTCTAAAACTTGGAAAATTGATCAATAGATCAGATTTACGCTGTCTTAAAGAATATGAAACCAAGGCCGTTTCTACAAAAATGACAGTTGATGATAAATTGAAATGCTGTACATGTAGAGTACAACCATCTTGGATTGTTAAACGATTGATTGATTGATTCATTCATTCATTGTTGGTTGCTTAACGTCCAGTGGCAAAAATTTTAATGCATGTTCAGGACGAGAACAAATTAACAATGAATACAATAAGTAGGTATTTTAATTGACGCCTTCCGGGATAAGGTCGGGGAAGTTCTGACTGCCAATGTACCTTGAGGGTAAATTAGATAGGGACAGAAATTTGGCCTTGCAACAGGCCACCTACGGACCCTCAAAGAGTTATTGCAAGGGTTTTTAACGTGCAGAGTGCGTTGCATTCTCTCTACACGAGACATCGGATTTATCGTCCCCATTCTGACCAGACGTGGCTGCGTACTTATACATCCCGCACATCCAAACGGACGCCCAACTTTGGCAAGGGTCTTACTGCCGGTCGGAAGAAGACCTGTAGTGACCATATTTCTATTCCCCAGTCACCCTTTGGGGTGATTGTTAAAAGAAGTTTGAATGATAGAAATCATGTAAATGATGTTGGATTTCTTGACGTCTTGTTTTGTGAAAATTATGTTAAATTGATAACTATGGATCGTACTGTTTATCTACCAATTAACTTATTATTTTTAGGGGCCTTCTTGGTAATATAGCCCTTCAGCTGCTTCGGTTCT